GAGCTGTTCAGGAACTGTGATCAGACATATTACATCCACAGAGTAGAGTTGCATTTCCCTCTGCATTTAGTGTCTCAGCAACAAGGAGTTGGTCGGTAACCTGCAGGGTCTCAGGTAGATTCCTTTGTGGGTTTCATCTGGTCACAACAACCAAAACACCTCCTTATATACAGCAGAATCCCATGTCCCCTGCCCTTCAACTCCTCAATCTTTGTGTTAACTCTTCATGTAACAACAATGCATCCTAAGCAGAGGGCAAATTTGGAGTTGTTTTTCTAGCAGAGATGAAGATTTACACCAATCTTTCTCACTTTCCCCAATAGATCCCACATGTAAAAAGGGCAATAAGTTGTGGCAGGGCCCTGAGCCCAAAGAAGTTCAGCCTGAGGCAGTGACACTGATGCTTTCCCACTCAGACAATGACCAATCCAATGACCTTAGGCATCTTGGACCCTATCACTAACAAGTTGAAATAATCATCAAAGATCTTTGTTTGACCCCAAGATGGCTATTTCCAAAACCTATTCCTGCTCCATGGCCTTGACAGAGAAACAACTCAGCACCCCCTCAACCTCATATTTGTCTGCCTTCCAAAACATACCTCTTCAATCTAGAAAATCAGGAATCAATGGGAAATTTCTTTCCAAATTGTTAGCTATCTCCAGATTTTCCGGATTGGGGGGAACATGAAAGATCCCTAATCTCTGGGTTTCTATGGAGGGGGACCAAATTTTTTTAATAGATTATCCACAAGTCCAGGACAAAGCTTTATATTCAGAGTTAAATTATGCAATAGTGAAATACAGAACACACACACACACACACACACACACACACACACACACACACACACCCCTTTACCATTACTGGCTATATCAGCTTCTTCTTTCCTAGGAGAGAAAGAAGTCCCCATTTGCCCAAGATTCACAAGTAACTACTTCTATCAGAATTAAGAGATTTGGCAAAGAAAAAAAATCCTCCAAACAAGGAAAAAGGAAGCCATTTCAAGAACTATAAAAAGATCATATCCAAGAAAATGTGGCTGATAAATGATTATGATATCTTACCATATCATATCATATGACATATGATTATAACATGGGCAATAGTCAGAGGCTGAGTACAGGTGATCTGACAAATTAAAAAAACACAGATACATGAGTGTTCTTGATAATAATGACTCATCCCTCTTGGGGAGCGGCTGTTCCAGACCAGGCCAGTCCTAGGACAGCCTGTTAAGTTTTAGCAATATCCTAGCTGATTTTAAGGGTTAGGTTCAGTGGGAGATTTGGGTCAGAACTCCTAGAACTATGCTTCCCCTTTCTGTCTCCCACTGCCCACCACCACAGAGGTCTGACTTCCACATTAGCCCCAGAGAGGGCTTCTTGTGGAACAGGGGGTGACTCGTGCCTGGGCTGGACATCTCGGAATCACCGTAACCACAGCACATCCCACATTCCTAAGACCGGAGTCAAAATATTCTCCTATATAGAGGCTAATCCCGAATCAGAGTATCTGGTCCAATTGCCTCATTTCCCTGTGCAACTTCTGGTTTCAAGCACAAAAGAAAAAAAAATAGGGGAGAAAAATCTGGGCTCTTTTATTAAAATCATACCAAAACTGAAAGCAATCAGAGAAGTCAGAATTTTCTGCAAAAATGTTCTGTTGGCATTTGGGAAAATTCGTGTGAAACCACAGCTCAGAGGACAGGAGGGAGCCAAGGAATTGGGATCTCAGAAAAAAGCAGGAAATATCGCCCAGCAAGATTTCACCACGTACTGGTAAGTTTGTGTAAACTTGGTGCTCGAGGTAAACCAATAATTAATGGCTACGAAACCACCACTCAATCATTCAAATGGCCCAAGATCCTTAAAATACAGGCATCTGGTTGAGAATATTTCAGCAAACAGTTTTCATACCACTTCTAAATTCATAACTATAAATCTTTGGAATTAAAGCATATTCTTGACCATTCTACCTGAATAAGGAAGTAGTCACAGTTCTGTGGACACATGGACCTATAAAAACAAGGCTGAATTGTTTTCACTTTTTTTTTTCTTTAAATTCTGTTACTCTGGCTCGAGCCATCTTTTAATATTTATTTATATTTTTAAAGATTTTATTTATTTTAGAGAGAGAGAGAGAGCACGAGTGTGAGGGGCAGAAGGAGACAGAGAGAGAGAGAATATCAAGCAGACTCCATGCTGAGCGTGGAGCATGATGCGGGGCTCAACCCCAGGGTCCTGGGATCACGACCTGAGCTGAAACCAAGAGTCAGACGCTTAACCGACTGAGCCACCCAGGCGCCCCGCCATCTTTTAATATTTAAAAAGCTTTATTCTCACATGGACAATGTGATCCATATAATTAGCAGGCTATTAAAATTTTAACTTTCTTTGCCATTTTCCACAGGATGTCTCACACATTTTTTTCCTATAAATATTCAGTCGGGGTTGGGGGGCAGTAAACAGTGATGAAACAAGTTTATTTTGAGAAATAGAGCCAACATTCTCAACAGCCATGACCCACCTTTGCATACAACCCGATCTGGCCGATGTACCAATCCTCTGAGTTAGAGTTAAAGGTCAAGGACCACAACTGGATGCTTCCAGTCTCTTCCTTGACGTCCCAATTTTTAGTCACATACCAGTTGGCATGGACTTAAATATCTGTATGTGATGACACAAGATTTAGGTTAGACACAGATATGGCTACATTTCACCCAATCCAATTTCTCAGTGTTTTCTTAGTCCAAGTGTTCAGTGGGCTCAAGCATATTTGTAGTGTAGGAATACAGGTGGGGCAAGGCATTGCTCGAGAATATTTACTCCATGCCATACTTACTGCCTGATCTCAGGGATGAGGTCAAAGTCAGAACCCCTCAAAGTTCTGCCAGACACAAATCATCCCACTGTGCTCAAAGCGGTCTTGTTCATCTTCAGTTTGGGGTTCCTGACATTGTCAACCACTCTACCTGTGCAGATTTGCTTGGCTGCCACCTTCACCCTTGAGGGTTTTTTCTAGGAGAAAAACATAAGTTTTCAAGTTGCAATTTTATTATCACATATTCCCAATGTTTTGGGTAGACTAAATGAAAATAAAATTATATAAATCACATGCAGTCATAGGTGCCTTCAAATGCTCCCAAATGACACCAACCATAAAGAATTCAACTTTCCTACTGCTAATGTAATCTCAACTAACTAAACTATCTCTGTGATCTGAAGTACCTCTAAACTGTTCAGGCTGTTCTCCAATATTTGGTTCCCTCCTTCCTGACACATGGTAGGATTATACTTCTGACTTTGTTGAACCTAGCATGCGTATGTGACTTGCTCTGGCCAATAAATGCAACCAGAAATGTCACCTTGAGAAGGAAGCTTTAGGAGCCAATGCCACTTGACCACATTAATTTCTTCCTCTGCCACAGCGATCACCTCGGTTCTCAATGTGGCTACTCCACCATTCTAGATCCCGGGATGAGGGTGACAAAACTATGCAAAATGGATAACAATGGGAGCAAGAAGTACACGTGTTACTTTAAATAATTGAACTTTGGGAGTTGTTTGTTACGGCAACACAACCTAGGAAAAAAATACCGGGATACTAAGCACTATGGCGAATGTTACTATAATCTAAAACAGAAGAAATTTGGGGCTCTGTTACACTGTAGCATATATATGTGTATGTATCGTTTTACATATATACATTATAATAGTAATATTCTATATTTTTATATTACCTATATTATTTTTAGCCACCTATTAAAACAAGACTTCTCTCCCATCTCCTCCCCACACACAAAAAACCTTCTCAAATCAATTGGGTAATCTAAATGCTGAAAATAAGTGCTCACAAATCTCAAATTAACTGAGACTCCCCCCATCAAAAAAGTCTTGATCCATTTGTCAAAATCATTTGCAGAGTTCCACTTCTTCTCCAAGACCAAGTACATTAATCAAACACAGGGCTTCAAAGGAGCTTCATTTTGAGCAACCCAACAGACAAATAAATGAGCTGCCGATGGCTCCTTCATAACGGCCGAGGACCAGGCTGACCCAAGGGAATAGGAGTAAAGCTCAAAGGGAACCATCCAAGCAAAAGCAGCATTTGGGGACCTGAAGCAAACGGATAAAGCCAACCCACATACTCTCACTTCCAAGACTGTGAGCCAAGCACATGTGTGTTTGTTCGCTAAAATAAGAAGATGCAAACGTCCCACGTCTGGTTGATTTCTTATGTGCTACAACCATAAAGATGTTTGTGTCTGGAGTACACGTCTGAGCATTGTGCTCAAATGTGCCAACTCATAAACTTGATCACACATACCTATGATCTATAAGAATGTTTCCCTTTGAAACAATGTAATTCTGGAAGGTTTTCTTCTCTATCGCCTGGATGAATTGCCTAAAGTTTCTCATTTAAGTATGTGAAGAACTGTCCATTTTTACTCTGCAGAGCTTTTCACTGGTGACTCAGTGAGGGATGATGTCATCTGTTATCCCACAACGGCTGGTGTGGTTCTCTCTGCTCACTTAAACCATTCCCTCTGTTTCTGTGGCAGACAGCACTCCCCAGTTTCCATCCTGTCGTCGGCTTCTTCCCAGCCAGCCCCAGGCAAACAGCCTCCCCTGCAGCAGATGAAACAGGAAGTTGGACAGCTTGAGTCTGCAGTGGGACCCCTAGTGTTTTCCCACTCCATGCCCTGGCAGCGTTCCCCACAAGTACGTACAAACACACACACACACACACACACACACACACACACACACACACACA